TTTGAAAACTTACTATGTGAAGTAAAAGGAAGAAGGATAGGGAGTTTTAGAGGATAGGGCTCAATTTTTAACAAACACAGTGGCCATAGAAAACTTCATGGAGAAGATACCACTTGGCCAAAGACTTTAGCTACTGAGGAAACAAACCCTGCAGACATCTAGGGGAAGGATTCAAGAGAAATAAATAGCAACAACAGAGATGTTGAGGTGAGGTTGCGCTTAGCTTGCTCAAGATATAATGAGTCCTCAGTGACAAAAACAGTGAGCAGATGAGAAAAGTAACAGATACCAGAGGGGTAACAGGGAGCCCAACTGTGGAAAAACTGATAGGCCATTTGTAAAGACATTGAATTTGATTCTGAGATGGAAAGTATGCAAGGTCACAAGAAAAAGAATGTTCTGATTGACTTAGGTTTTAAAAGAATCACTGTTTTCTATGTTAATAATTATCAGAAGATGGCATTGCATGAAGTAAGGAGGGAGGCTCTGACAGTAACCCAGAGTAGAGGTGATGGTGGCTTGGATCAAGTGTGGAGGTGGCAGGAAATGGAGGTATCCTGGATATACTCCTGAATGAGAACCACTAGGACTTGCCGATGGATTCAGTATAGGATTTGTGAGAAATGCAGTTCCAAGGGTTTGGTTTGAGCAACCACAAAGATGGAGTAATTACTAACAAAGATCTAAAAGACCATGGGGGAGCAGACATATAGGAGAATGATTAGTTCAGTTTTTTGTATCTAACAAATACATCAAATACTGAGATATTATATTGATATCCAAATTAAATAAATTTGTGTGGAGATATGAATTAGAGAGTTGTCAGCACATAAATAGTATTTCAAGTCACAGAATTGCAAATGATGATGAAAGGAATTAATTTAGATACCAGGACTGATTTTTGGGCACTTCATTGTTTAGATGTCAGAGAGATGGGGAGGGGATAGCAAAGGCAATTAGAAAGAGCTGCTAATGAGAGAAAAGAATGCTAGAAAAGTCAAGTGGATAAAGGGTTTTAACCTGGAGAAAGTGATCAAATTTATAAAATTGTGCTTATGGCATAGGCCATGGAAGTGACTTTTAGTTTAAACAATGTGGAGATCACTAGCGACCTTTACAAATTATCTTTCAGTGGAGTATTGCAAATGATTGAAGTGTGTGTAAGAAAAATGAGTAGGATAAATGGAGACAGTGATAATAAACAATCTTTCAAACAGCTTTGCTTTAAAGGAGATCAGAGAAATGGAACAATAACTGAATGGGCATGTAATCAAGAAGTGGAGGGATTCTGATGTTTTTGTTGTTGTTGATTTTTACTTTTAAAGAAGGAGACATTATGACATATTATGTGCTACTGGCCATAATCCAGGAAAGAGGAAAAGTTGATAATGCAGGTCAGGGAGACAATTGCTAGAGAAGAGATATCCTTAGAAATCATGAGAAATAGATTTCACACACAAAGGAGGTGGCCATCCTTTATTGCATTGTTAATGAACCCAAAATACAGGAAGGCCAGCAAAGGAAGGTGCAGGGAGAGCTAGTGGGGTAAAGATGCTAAAGGGAGTATGCAAAAGTTCTTTCTGATTATGTCCAATTTTCCCATGAAGTGAGGAGGTGGTGGAGAAGGTTGGACTTTTGAGAAAAGTTGAAAAATTATGAAATAACTGTAGGAAAGTATAAGGAATGGGTAGGAAAAAGTGCCGTATGATGATGGAACAGCAGCAGAGGCTGATTTGAATGTCTTGCTTATAAATTTAGAAACTGGTGAGCATAGCAGTGTGTTTCCAGCAGCCAAGATCAGCTGTGCGGGAGTATTCAGAGAGTGCAGAGAGAACTTTGTCTGTAAGAGAGTGCAAAGTATTGGCAGGGGAGTGATTAAGCACAGAATTTGCACTGGGTAGGGAGATGAAAGTTGGTGAAAGGCTCAAGGAATTGTAGGTCCTCAGGAGTAGAAAGTTGATAAACTGGGGTACAAAAGAGGAAAATAAAAGATAAGATGTAATTAAGAGGATATTTAAAATTTTGATTAGGAGGGAATACAGTCGGAAATCACAAGGTCTGTTGTATGACATCAGATCTAGCAACTACAATCAGGAGGAGGCTGATCACCAGTGAAATAACTGGGATAACAAGGTATTGGAGAGACCATCTGTGCGCATAGTGAGTCATCAGGAATTATGACAGAGTAATGTCGGAGGGAGAGCAAAGGTAACCAGGAGCAAAAACCTTTAAGGTATCACAGGGTATGGGTGTGACCAGACAGTATGCAGATGTCAGTGGATGACCGGATCTGGTATTCCTCCACCACCCAGTAGTAGCAGGCTTTTGAATATCATGTCTCTTACTCTAGAAAGCAAGTCACATAAATATTTTGTGGTCCAGAATTTCATTAGCATCCTAATATATAAATACTATTGAACATGTGAAGCCTGGTATAGAAGAGATTGACTCTGTTTGAAATTTGCTAAGTGTTTTTTTTTTTTTTTTCTGCCAGTGTAAACGTTCCTTTCTTCTCAGTCTTGATTTCTAGTAAAGAATTTTGACATAAGGCTTCAGCTGCTAACTATGGTACTTATATGGCCTTGGACAAACAGCTTTAATTCTCTGAACCCCACCTGGCTAATTCATTTATAAAAGGAGGGAAAGGAAATAATATTACCTCTGAGTCATATTGTGAAGTTTAAAGAGATACTGTGAGAGCCTCTAAGCATAATCCTCAGCACATTACAGGAGCTCAATTCAGTAGCTTTGTACATGTACATTGTGATTGAAAAAATAAGGCAAAACAGCCGTCTATTCTTTGTGAAAAAGAGTAACCTGTGATAGTCTGTGTATGAAATGTAGAGTTTATGGTATAGATTAGCTCATCAAACTGGGAAATCTGTAAAATGGGTCAATATTGCAGTAATACTATACATTCATTATGTGATCAAGCTAAAAATATATTTATTGCAATTTTTCAGATTTAGTAAAGAAAATTAATTGGTCATTACTGCTTTGGAGAGTTTAGCATGAAATTTAATTGTGTCAATTTGCCCAAAACTTAGGAAACAAACAATGTACTATTTTCAGAATTTGATTCTCTGAGAGGGAAACCAGTGTTCTATGTTTTTATGCATCGAGTTGGATCCCGCTATCATCTTCCCTCAGGCAATCCAAAGCTCAACATGAGCATCATAGAAAGTGGTTCAATTATCAGATGCTTGGTGTCAACTGGATGCTGATATTATCTATAGATTAGGAATTTTTATGAGATACAGTGAGCATGGTGTATCTGTATTAAATATCTATAAAGGAAAGAGTGAGGGAATTCTAGTCAGGCGACCAAGGTCCAAATTCTGGCTCTACTGGTTATTGAATGCAAGGCCGTGTGTTCTTTATCTAAAAAAAATGGGACTAATAATATCTCATGAGTTTGTCATGTTAATTGAATGAGGTTGTACCCATGATAGTATAAATTAGTCAAAGTTTAAGGAATAACTATTATGCCTCCTGTGAGTGAAAGACAGCAAGGGCAGGTATATCACAGAGATTGAAGGTCGCCTCTATCATTTCTCCTCTACCAGGAGCAAGACTTTATGAGAAAATTAGTCTCCTTCTGGGTATATCAAAGAGAAGTTCAGAACTAACCTATTTCTTCATAGGGTATTTTCCTGCTAGGCTTAGGTGAATAGAAAGTTTCAGTGATGATGTATAGGGTCCATAAAAATCTTTTAAGAGATGACTGATCTGAACCTATGAAAAATAACAGATGGAAGGACTGTCCAGTACTTCCCTTATCCTAGCTTTTATATGGACTGTCCAGTACTTCCCTTATCCTAGCTTTTATAT